ATTTGGGAAAAGCAGGGTTTAAACAAAGTTAATTAGCTTTCTTGTTTTCATGGAAGGACTTCTCAAAGCCCCTACTGTTGATAGGCATTGTCATCCTCAAGGAGGAGTATAGCATGTAACATTTTCCAAACTTATTCACCCTGTGGGACACACTTTGGGATACAATATTTTAGAACCAAATGGAGTTCATTTCCATGACACAGGCGTGGTCTTGCCTACAACTTAATAAAAGAAGCTCTCTTCCATAATCTTAAGTGGTTTAACTGTGCCACATCTATTTACCCACATTTTTAACTAGTTTAGAAGACTAAAATGTGGGAAGTAATTTCGCGACAGCAACTGATTTTTTCCTTCTTCCTATCCATTAGCAACAAAAAGCTCCTATTGTACTGGTCTGAATTTCCTGAAATCTCTCTACAAATTTCCGATACCATCTAGATTCACAGAATGGCTATGCTTTAAGAACTTTAACATACAAGAACCCCAACTGAGACCTTTGGTTTTCCTACGATTTAGCAGGTAACTATCAAACTGTGGATAATATATATACATGATAATCATCCATATAAAAAGTAATTGTGATATGATAAAGTTTCTAGGGTTTGATTTATTGGATTAATGCCACTAAAATGCCACTGGATTCCTTCCTGCTTGTTCTTCAGCTTCAGAATTGTGGATGTTGTGCTTGGGGATAAGGAATCACATTAATTCCTTATTTCTCAGGTCATCTCATTCACTTGACTGCTAACCACAAGGCTGGCGGTTCAAACCCACCAGCCACTCCTCCAAAGGAGGTTGGGCAATCTACTTCTGTAGTGATACTGCCTAGGAAATCCAAGGAGGGGTCGCTATGAGTCGGGTTCCACTCAATGGCACATTTTGAACAACAGCTGATTTTGATTCACGGCAACTCCACATGTGCAGAGTAGAACTACTCCATAGGGTTTTCAAGGCTGTGTGTAACCCCTGGGAAGCAGATCACTAAGCCTGTCTTCTAAGGTGCCTCTGAATGGGTTCAAAGCACCAACTTCTGGGCCAGTAACGCACTGCCGTGGAGTCGGATCCAACTCATAGGGACCCCCTCCTTAGGTTTCCAAGGTGGTAAAACTACGAAGTAGATTGCCCCAATCTTCCTTCCGAGTGTGGGCCAATAGTGGAGTGTTTTACTGTATGAGCCACCCAGGGACTCCAGCAAGACTGTTTGTCGTTATTGTTGTTAGTTGCCATTGAGTTAATCCCAACTCATGACACATGGGGACAAGACTGCTTACAAAAACACCTTATTATTTAAAGTAAAAAAAAAAAAGACTAAAAAAGTACCCCTTGAAGCCACTAGATGGCAATGTTTCAAAGATTAAAATTAAAACATCTCAAAACTGCAACCCTAAGGGCCTTCTCAAAGTCACAAACAAGGATTCCTTTTATTCTGATATTAAGAAGTTGGACGTACAAGTTACTTAACACCATTTTTTAAAAGTTCTACAAAACAATATGATGCATGTGACACATTGCAATCTCTTGATTCAAAAAACTAAAGATAGAAATACTTGTCTTTCATAAATAAACACAGGAAAAATTTGGTCTAATATTCTCATCTGTTCTTGGTAAAAAATACATTATTTTTGGCAAAGATAATCCTGTCAAGGCAATGTCACTTTCTGTTTTCAAGTGCTTAATCTTTTCTAGCTAAGTCTGCAGAATGTGATTTGTAACTATATTAAACAAAATAAATGAATAAATACAAATTAGATAAATTACACATAATTTAAAAATTAAATACTTTCACTAAAACGAAAAATAATAAGCTATTATCTACTCTGCTGTATATAGTTTTTTCAAACCTTAAAAATAACCCACACAAAGCAAAACAAAAACCTGTTTGGTTTTCCTATAAAAGCACTGGTGTTTGCATACATATATGTATATATGTAAACAACACAAGTATTTGTTCAAGAGAAAATTTTTTTAAAAAAATGTTTTAAGGCTTCCCTGCCCCATCAGGTTCAACAGTGAAGGTCACAGCCTATCAAGCTAGAAGGACACAAAAGCCCTTAGGGCCAAAACAGTGTTTCCAAATTGAATGTTTAGCAACCAAGATAAAGAACAAGGAAAGGGAGCCAGAAAAGATTTAAAAGCTAAGTCATTTCAACCACTGACATCAAACAACGAACATAAACAAAGGTGACTAAGGAAGATATGGGGTATGGGGAGTTGCAAGAACAAACTTAAAACTTCAATAAAGAATTAGCATCGTGTGTGCAACAGAACCCTAACACTCCCCGCAAACCTGCACACAAACTCAATAAGAAAACAAACCTGAGAGTTCTCTTTTAAGAGACTCTTGCTATTTTTGCTTTGTTTCATTTAACTATTAATCCTTCTTGGTGAGAAAAAGATTGGTTTTGAAGGCATGTTTAAGTTTATAGAAAAGAGAAAAGTTGTTGCAACTCCAGATGTTCCAACACTGAACAGAACCCTTAAGGCTCCTAAGATAAATATTGTTCAGGGAGATCTTAAAACCCTGAATTGGTTATGTTGTTAAGTTGGTTATAGCTGTTTTTAAGGAACTTGGAAATTATGGATACCTGTAAAAGGACCACAGCCCTTCCACTGAACATTATGCAGTATTTGCAAAAACTGCTAGAAGAACTTGGCTTCTGAAATTGTGGGGGCAGTCTTTTAAAGATTTAAACATTTAAATATGATCTTACTAATGGTTTGTTTTCTTGATCTTGTGCAAGAGAAATTGAGGGTATAAACACAGCTTAAAGCCTGCTAAAATTTAGGAAATACACTGGATTTACCTACACCAAACAGTAAAGCAAGTGAGTGCTGCCAAATTCTCAGATTGTGACAGTTCATCATTGAAGGTGTATTAATCATACTGCAGTGAACTCACAATTTAAAATTAACAATAATCTGCATTATTGTTCATCTATTAAAAAAAAGCTGCCTATGTGAATTATCACAGGCCAAACTAAATCACAGATTTCAACAGAGAAATAAAATGTCACACTTTTTTGTCTTCAGTAATTTCAATGGCACTAACTAACCCTTGGAGGTATTTACATCTCTCAGTGAGCACTGCAGAGTATGATATCCAGTAGTGAGTAAAATAATAATTTCAAGAATATATCTGGTTTTCACAGTGCAATAACAGAAACACAGAGACTAGAGACAGATCATCAACGGGCTAAAGTAGTGATCAGACTGGCACACATTTCAAAAAAATCCATGGTGTGACTGCCAAGGCGAGGTGAAACTGAAGACAACGTGCTGCCAGTCAAGGAGCCAGTGAAAGAGCCAGAAAGTGAATGGCCCTCTGCAGTTGTGCAGTCAAAACTTGATCTTGGTCTGTGTAAGCCAGCAGCAGAAGAGGAACGCTGAGGTGTTGATGAACCAGACCTCTGCTCTACCACTTCATCTGAAATGAACCAAAACCAACAATTTTTATGAAAAGTTTATTTGCCCCAGCTCTTCTCTGGAACTATTAGATTCAAAATATTAAGTAAGTAGATATATGTGACTGGGCAAGAGCCACTTAATAACGAATGTCATCATTTCAGTATCTTAGGAACAGGAATGGCAATGCCTCTTCCTCCTGCAATCATGGCAGACAATGCTAATCGATCACATTTCCACCCAGCCAAAATTTGGCCCCTAAATCTTTCTCAATACAGTACTGATCATTAACCTTGAAATCAAACTTTGAAGAAAGCACATCCTTGGCTACTTATTTTCTTGCTGTATATCTACAAAAATAATATTAAAATAAAAACAAAAGTTACCATCTTACAGTGATTGTGAAACTTCATGGCACACTGGAATTGCTAGCAGGAGGGCAGGGGATCTTGCTAGAAATGTAGTTTCCAAGTTTCCCAGAACCCGTCTCCAGAGACTGTGTTTTGTAGGTCCAGGGTGATTCCAAGGAGCTCTTTTGGCACAGTGCTAAAATATTTGCTGCTAACCAAAAGGCTGGTGGTTCAAAATCACCTGTCACTTCATGGGACAAAGACTGAGACAGTCTGCTTCTGTAAAGATTTATACTTTGGAAACTCTATGGGGCAGTCCTACATTTTTCTGTGTTGTTGTTGTTGTTATGTGCCGTCGAGTCGGCCCTGACTCATAGTGACCTCTCCTTGGGTTTCCGGAAGTAGGATTGCCCAACCTTCCTTCCGAGGAGTGGCTGGTGGGTTTGAACCGCCAGCCTTCTGGTTAGCAGTCAAGTGCTTTAGCCATTATGCTACCAGAGTAAGTCAGAATCAACTCGATGACAGTGGGTTTGGTTATTTTCGGTTTTGGGGTGATTCCCCAAAAGCTGCATTTTAATCAAAACCCAAGGTAATTTTAATGAAAAGTAGTCACAGGACCATGTAAACACACTTAAAAATGATGGCAGTTCAAAATTAAAATATAAATGATCTGTTTAAAACAAGGTCCCAAACTCTAAATTCATTTTCATTCTTATCTATCCAGCACCTGACCCTTGGTTCATTCTGTTTATAGCCCACTTGGCCCTCTGAGTGGAATAATCATATCTGTTTTACTCAGGTTTGACTCTTGGCAAATAGTAAAGACTTGGGCATGACCACTTTCTCTGACTCTTTTGGCTCCTAGATTACTATGGATACTTAAGACCACCCCAAATCTCAGGATCAGTCTATTTGGTCACGTTGCTTCCCAGATAAAGGACTCTAACTAAGAAAAAAGGATATTATAATGGCAACAGTAATAGTATATGAATGTTTCTCCATTCCATACAAAGAGCCTGAAAATATCTACTAATTTTCAATAAAAATTGCTTCCCTGGTTGTTCCTTTTTCTCCACAGTTAACAATTTAAATGAGTTTTTAATCCCAAGGAAATGCTTCTTTTGGGTAAAATATATTCCACATGTCTTCAGATCTTTTCATTTCACTTATATTTTGGTTAAATCTAGATTATGTAAAGTCTAGGAAAGAAGATTTCTTTGAAATGATTTTACTATCTTATCAACTAGTGCCAAGTTTTATCTTTTCTAAGCTAATGCTCGTATAGCTTCTTACCATCAATGCTTTTAAAGTCCAAGAGATAGCTTCTGTTGTCAACCAGGTAAAGCTGTAAGCTCATTTTCACATAGTTGCCAGTCACTGGATTCTTTCTTCTTACTCGAAGATGATATGCATTCACCACCTAACATGAGAAATCCTCTTTTAAGGAAAAACAATAAAAATAAACTGCAAAATGTTTCTCTTCTTACTGCAAAGAATGTAAAAAACAAACAAACAACTAATAGGGGTCAGAGATAGGGAAAGAATTCCTGCTTTGGAGGCATTGGTGGTTCAGTGGTAGAATTCTTGCCTTCCATTGTGGATGGGAGATCTGGGTTCAACTCCCCCCACTCCCAGTGCACCTCATATACAGCTACCTCTGTCACTGGAGTTTGGTGAGTTGCTATGATGCTAAAAGGGTTTCAACAGAACTTCGAAAATAAGTTAGACAAGGAAGAAAGCCCTGATGATCTACTTCCAAAAATGGGACAATAAAAACCCTATACATCAAAACAATCCAACTGGCAACCGATCGTGGAGACGTGCTCAATCATAAGATTGAGAAGTGTTTCATTCTGTTGTGCATGGGGTTGCCATGACTTGGGGCTGGCTCAAGGGTAGCTAACAACAGTTTACTCTAGTATTTGGTTAATTCCCAAATATGCCAACATTTTTGTTGTTGTTGTTAGGTACTATCAAGTCCATTCTCACTCATAACAACCCTACGTACAACAGAACAAAACAATGCCCGGTCTTGCACAATCCTCACAATCATTGCTCTGCTTGAGCCCACTGTTGCAGCAACTGTGTCAACCCATTTCGTTGAGGGTCTTCCTCTTTTTTGCTACTTTACCGTCTACTTTGCCAGGCATGAGGTCCTTCTCCAGGGACTTGTCCCTCCTGACAACATGACTAAACTACCAGAGGCAACATCTCAGCATCCTTACTTCTAAGAAGTATTCCTGGCTGTATTTCATCAAAGACAGATTGGCCTTTTGACAGTCCACGGTATATTCAATATTCTTCACCAACACAATAATTCAAATGTATCAATTCTTCTTTTGTCTTCCTTATTCATTACCCAGCTCTTACATACATATGAGGTGACTGAAAAGACCATGACTTGGGTCACATGCACCTTAGTCTTCAAAGTGACATCTTTGCTCTTTAACACTTTAAAGAGGTCTTTCACAGCAGATTTGCCCAATGCAATATGTTCTTTGATGTCTTGACTGCTGCTCCATGGGTGATGATTGTGGATTCAAGTAAAATGAGGTCCCTGACAACTGCAATCTTGTCTCCATTTATCATGATGTTGCTTATGGGTACAGTTGTGAGGATTGTTGTTTTATTTATGTCGAGTAATCCATACTGAAGGCTGTAGTCTTTGATCTTCAAGTTTTTTCCCTTTCAGCAAGGTTGTGTCATCTGCATATATCAAATTATAAATGAGTCTTCTTCCAACCCCAATGCTACATTCTTTTTCCTATAGTCCAGCTTCTCAGATTACTTCCTCAGCACACAGACTGAATGAGTATGGTGAAAGGATACAACCTTGATGTATCCTTTCCTGATTTTAAACCATGCAGTAACCCTTGTTCTGTTCGAATCGCTGCCTCTTGGTCTATTTACAGGTTCCTCATGAGCACAATTCTAGAATTCCCATTCTTTTTAGTGTTATCCATAATTTATTATGATTCACACAGCTGAAGGCTTTGCATAGTCAATAAAACACAAGTAAACATCTTTCTGGTATTCTCTGATTACAGCCAAGATCCATCTGATATCAGGAATGGTATCTTTCATTGCATGCCATCTTCTGAACCAGACTTGAATTTCTCACAGTCCCAAGTACTGCTGCAACCATTTTTAAATTATTTTTAGCAAAATTTTACTTACATGTGATGTTGTTGTTGTTGTTATGTGCCGTCAAATCGGACCCAACTCATAGTGACCCCTCCTTGGGTTTCTGAGGCAGTATCACTATGGAAGTAGATTACCCAACTTTCCTTCTGAGGAGTGGCTGTTGGCTTTGAACCGCCAGCCTCCTGGTTAGCAGTCAAGTGCCTTAGGCACTATGCTACCAGAGCTCCCTATATGTGATATTGATATTGTTTAATAATTTCCTCATTTTGTTAAATCATCTTTGTTTGGATTGGGACAAATATTGATCTCTTCCAGTCAGTTGGCCAAGTAGTTGTCTTCCAAATTTCTTGGCATAAATGAGTAAAGGTCTCCAGCATTGCATCCAATGTTGGAACATCTCATCTGGTATTCCATGAATTCCTGGAACCCTGTTTTTTACTAATGCCTATAGTTCAGCTTAGAGGTTTTTTTTTTTCTTCAATACCATTGGTTCTTGATAATATATGCTGGCCCCTGAAAGGGTTGGACATTGACCAATTCTTTTTGGTACAGTGACTGTGTATTCCTTCCATCTTCTATTGATGCTTCCTGTGTTGTTCAATATCTTGCAATTCGATGTTTGAATTTTTTCTTTAGTTCTTTCAGGTTGAGAAATACCAAGTTGTTTCTCCTTTGGTTTTCTAACTCCAGTTCTTTGCATATTTTATTACAATACTTCACTTTGTCTTCTCGAGCCACCTGTGAAATTTTCTGTTCAGATCTTTTACTTCATCATTTCTTCCATTTTCTTTAGCTACTCTATGTTTAATAGCAAGTTTTAGAGTCATATCTGGGTAAAAGACTCCTGCCTCTTTGTATTGCCGCTTTGCAATAAATAATTTTCTCTACTCTTAAAAAAAAAACAAGTTTTAGAGTCTCTTCTGACATCCACTTTAGTTTTTCTTTCTTCTCTATCTTTATAATGACCTTTTGCTTTTTCATGTGTGATGTTCTTGATCTCATCCCACAAATCATCTGATCTTCAGTCACTGGTGTTCAATACATCAAATCTATTCTTCAGATGGTGTCTAAATTCAGGTAGAATATAGTCAAGGTCATAATTTGGCTATTTTGGACTTGTGTAACTATTCTACAGCTTCAACTTGAATTTGCATATGAACAATTTATGGTCTAGGAGCTCTGGTGGTTCTGCAGTTGGTCCCTGGCCTTGTTTTGACCAATGATACTGATCTTCTCTACTGTCTCTTTCCATAGATGTAGTTGATTTGATTCCTATGTATTCCATCTGGCAAAAGCCACATATATAGTTGCTGTTTATGCTGTTGAAAAAAGGTACTTGTAATGAATAAACTATAGGTCTGGGAAAATTCTATCATGTGATCTCTGGCTTTGTTTCTATCACCAAGGTCATATTTTCCAACTACCAATGCTGACGTTCCTTCTTTGTTTTCATCTTTTGCACTCTAACACCAGTAATTATCAATACATCTTGATTGCATGTTTGATCAATTTCAAACTGCAGAAAGTGGTAAAAATCTTCAATTTCTTAATCTTTGGCTTTAGTGGTTGGTACATAAATTTGAATAACAGTCATATTAACTTGTCTTTCTTGTATTTATATGGATATTATTATCCTATCACTGACAGTATTGTACTTCAAGATAGATCTTGAAATGTTCTTTTTGATGATGAATGCAATGCCACTGCCTTTCAATTTGTCGTTCTTGGCATAGTAGACCATATGATTGTCCAATTCAGAATGGTCAATACCAGTCCATTTCAGCTCACTAATGCCTAGGATATCAATCGTTATGTGTTCCAGTTCATTTTCTACAATCCCAAACTTACCTAGATTAATACTACGTACATTCCACATTCCAATTATTAACAGATTTTGCAGCTGTTTCTTCTTATTTTGAGTCAGCAAATGAAGAATCTGAATGCTTTACTCCAACCATGTCATGACTCTACTTCAGTGTATATTAATTAAAATTTGAAGGGCATTTAGAGATTCTATAGAGCCCAACCTTCTTTCCAGTTATGCACCTACCCTAAAACATCAAGAATGGTTTTGTTTGTGCAGCCTCAGCTTGAACACCTTCACCTAATAAATACACAGTAGAAGGAATAAAGGGGAACTAATGTGTTAATGATTTACATCAGGCATTCTAACAGGTACTGTCACAAAATTTAAGTATCACAATAATGCTGTGAGGTAGACATTGTTTCTTTTACAGATGAGATAACTATTGCACTGATAAAAAATGATTCTGGGTTTTCAAAACATCTGAAAACTTAGTTCAAACATTTTTTAGTAAGGGATTTTAAAGAGGTTAGCATCTTTTTTAACTAAATAAATAAAACTGTTTTAGAAAAGGGAGATCTATTTTTCAAGTGGTTTTAGGAAAATATTTCATTTATTCATTCCATGTATAACCAAGAATATGAAAATGACTGTTTTATGCATACGTGTCGTATGACTATCTATATATGGTAAATTTGAATATTTTTATTCTTCTTTAAAAAGAAAAAAAAAAACTCATAGTCTTCAAAAAAGGAACAAGAGGAAACGGGGCATCTAACATGAAAAACATGTTTTACCTCCCACATACGTTCAAATAGATTAAGTACTAATTATTTAAAAAAAGTAAAATGTGCTAATGAATATATGCCATGACTAAGGATAAAAGCACAAATCAAATAAGTTTTTCTCAACCCAGAGAAAAGTATTTACTGACTGAATCAACATGTCCTGATGGAATAATTTGTACTGACCACTAGCTGTCACAATCACCAAAAACAAACATTAAAAAAAAAAAAAAAAACCTCCCTAAAGAGAGAGAGAACGTGAAAGCATGCAAGAACTTTTTACTGCTATACAGCATGCTGAAACAGATGGGCTATTTGATTTCAAGTTTAATCAACTATTTCTTCGCCAGGCATGTTATTTTATAATTAAATATGTAGGTCCCCAACACCATCAGCTTTTCAGTCTCATAGATGTTTATTTCTTTTGTTTTGAATGAATGTAGTCTATTATTAGAAATAATGAGTTAGCAGCCGGAAGAATCAAGATCACTAAATTTGTAACTAAATCAAAACCAGCATGTTACTGACCTCAATTCTCAACTCAGTGGCTCACCAGCTTACTGTACAGGAAAATGGCTTCTACGAAGACCTTAATGCACTATATGATTTCCTACCTTCCATTCAAAATCCAGCTGCTTCATAGCTCGGTAAACTTCAGCCATAATGTCATATGGTTTGCTTTGACTTCGAATTCCCAGATGCCACTTGGCTTTTTTTACAGCTAAAGGTTTAGGCTTCGTCGTATTGAGCGCATCCAGTGGACATCTTGCTTTGGGGCTGTCTGCTATAAGAGGTGGCATCCTTTCTGGATGAGGTTTCAGACCTGGGGGAATATGCATGGCACTATCATCCATAAAAGAACCAGTTGGGGGACTAGAGGCGAGGTAGAACTCACTGGCTTGGTTCATTATTCTCCGATTGTCAATGATAAGATGATAAGCCACTGCAAGCTGGTCTTGAGGGTCACCACTATATAAACTGTTCATTACTTCTGATTCTGTGCACTCAAATTTTTCACACACTTCTTTTACAGCTTCATCATCAATGACGTTAGCATCATAGGAGGGGTCTTCAGGAAATAAGTAACTGGACAGATCTTGTTTAAACCATTCATGCTCTCTAGAAAAAATACCACAATGCACTATTGTTAAGAACATGCTCTGGCAAATCCTAAACAATTTAGACATGAGGCAATAAAGCATAAGAGAATCAGAAGGATTTGCTCTCTAGTTTTAGTTCTGCTACTTACTAGCTATGTGACCTTGGGCAACTTGATGAATCTCTACCTTTGAATAACTACAGCTATTCACACTTGAGGATTATGTTTACATTTCTTGAAAATGAACAAAGGGAGCTTGTCACTTAGTATTTTTTGCTACTAATAAAATTCAAGCTTTCAAGCAAAGATTTAAAATTTTAGATAACTGTATATGTTCCCTTGAGCTTGACAGCTTCTCCACACTTAAAAGAGTTTTCTGATGAGATTGGTGGTAATAATAATTAGATTTTTTGATATTGTATAATGAAATACATCATAATATTTTCCAAATAGCTGATGCATGATGTCACATAATCATACATGGGTAAAAAAATCTACTCAGAATGCAAGGTAGATCAGTGGATCTTAATGTAATAAAATGAATATTAAGTTCACTGATATGTTTTCTGATTTGATACTGTAACCAATATGTCAAGCATAAGTGTAATATTAAAGAAGATATCCATAGTCATCTTATTGCTATTAACATAGTTCTCCCTTTTCCAACCACTTATCTAAGGCCAGATATTCATCATAGTCTTCAACTATATATATTACAAGAGACTAAATGAAAAAATAAACGTGAGAAGCTAGCTGCTATCTTTGATTATATCAGACAATAAAAGGATTTTAAAAAAATGTGAAATAATCCTACTCTTTTCATTTTTTTTTTAGAAAAACATAATTATTTTTCATAAAAAATGTTATTTAGATTAAAACTGTTTTGATTTTATTTTAAAATTAACTTAGACAAACTTTTTTTCTAATTTCTCAGTTTTAGTTTCTAATATAATAAATATTAAGATATAACCTACTTTACATACACATACACACACACACAAAAAAAACCCTTTTGGGTCTTCTGTAATTTTTAAGAGTGTAAAGGGTACTAAAACCAAAAAGTGTGAAAACTACTCTCCTAAATCTTGCTTTTTCACACATCTGTTATTGTTACCTTAGAAAATTCCATTCCTTTTTATCTGACTATCTATACGTACTGTCTACTCCTTCACAATTGTTGAAGCATTGCTGCATGGTAGAACAGGGCACCCTCTCAGGTAACTTCAGATCGATACGTATTTCTCCTGACTGCCTTCTATTCACTGAAGAACACATTTATAAATACTTATCATTTATACAACATTTATATTCATGTAAATATAAGTTGTTTATTTATAATCTATGAAAATATTGTTTACATATAATTTAGATAATATTTATTATGAGGACATACTCTAGGCAAAAAGATAAAATATTTCTCTTACAGAGATTATATTTTAGTTAGATACAGATTAAACAAACACAAGATTAAACATATTATTACAAATATACAAATTCTGTGATAAAAATTATGACTAGAAAAACACAGATACAATGACAGCATACAAGAAACCTGGAAAAAAAAAAAAAAACATTGCCATCAAATTGACTCTGACTCAGTGACCCTACAGGACAGAGTACAACTGCCCCATAGGGTTTCCAAGGTTGTAATCTCTACAGAAGCAGACTGCATCATCTTTCTCCTACAGAGCAGCTGGTTGACTTGAGCCATCCACCTTTTGCTTAGCAGCTGAATGCTTTAACCACTGCACTACCAGAGTTCCTCTTGAGCATATAATAAAAAACAAAAAAAACAAACTCACTGCCATTGAGTCGGTCCCAACTCACAGTGACCCCTCCTTGGGTTTCCGAGGTAGTATCTCTACAGAAGTTGATTGCCCAATATTCCTTCCGAGAAGTGCTTGGTGAGTTTGAACTGCCAGCCTTCTGGTTAGCAGCCAAATGCCTTAGGCACTACGCCACCAGGCCCCTTGAGCATATAATGGGAAAGGCAAATTCAGAATGGAGGAACAATTAGGGAAGTCATTCTGAGTCATATTTAAGCAAACACCCTAAGAATTATAAATCTGCCAGGGAAAGGGTTGAGGAACAAGTATTCTCAGCAAAAGAAATAATATGTACAAAGACTCTGAGACAAGAAATAGTTTTGCCATGTTCAAGGAACTGATCTGAGGTCAATATAATGAAAGCATAATGAGTTCAGGGTTGGAGGGGCAAAAGAACTCCAGTATCTCTAAGAGTTATAGGCTATAAAAAGGATTTGGGATTTCAACTTATGGCTGATGAAAAATCACTGAAGATTGTACAGGGACAAGGGTGAAAAGATCTATATTGCATTTTTAAAACCTCATTCTACATGTGGTATAAAAATTGACTTGAAAAGATAATTAAAATAATAATCATAATATGATATTTTAAGTGAGAAAGGATGGTGTGCCAGATCCTGTGGATATAATTTACAGATGAAACACAGCCTCAAGTAGATATTTGTATTATAACATTTATTATGCTTTCTTACAACTGTTGAGTATTTCTTAATCTTCTCCACTAAACTGAGAACTCTGTGAAACAGAGACCATACCCTATGTATCACTTCTCTAGTAACCAGCAGAATTGGTGGAATGGAGCTCAATAAATGCTGAATCTACACATGAAGTATGAAGACTATAATGAATTCATTAATGTGCTTATTTTCAATTATCACAATAATCACTGAATAAACATTTGCTAATCAAAATGACTAAGATAGATACCATTTTTCAAAAGAACTAATAGAAGACAAAAAGTTATGTTACATGTTTAAGATTTTTTAAATAACAGTCACAAATGGGGAAGTTGAGTATTTTCCAAATGAATTCCAAATATCCACTCCTCCATAAAAACAATGGGAATATTGGCAAAAACTGTCCAATTCAACTTTTTAAGAATTTTGGAAAGTAACCAAACGCTGAAGAGTATTTACTCAAGAAAATCAGCTGAATTTTGGTTAAAGCAGTGATTTTGTAGCATTTTAACTTGCCCTATTGTCATTCTCCTTCTCCCAATGACTAAGGGGATAGGGAGTACAGAAGAGGTCTGGAGCTCCCCATAAGTTCCACCTCCAGAGAACTGCCATTATGTGACCTGTCTCGCAATTCCCTAGAAAGCCTTACTCACAGGACTTGTCTTCATTTGACTTGACAAAAGAGTTCATTCCTGCAAACAGTCTGTCCACAGGCCATTTGTCAAAAACAATCAACAGCAGCTGTTTAACACTGTACCTGCCTGACATGGCAATAGCAGTTGGGACAAACAAGAAACTGGGAAAAAAAAAAAAAAAAAAAGACTTAAAAGGACAAGGTAGGGAGTAAGAGTTACATAGAGGGCATTGAAAAAGTCTGATAAAGTCCTAGGAACCAAGAAAGCCACATACATATGCAGGGCTTGTGTGCATGCCTAGGAAAGAACTGAGAAAGTCCTAGGGTCTTACCACTGGCTGACTTTGATCTGTACAAGGAGGAGGTAAAGACTAAGGCACAAGAATAAACTGCTTGCTAGAGCATTAAGAAACTACTCTAAAATATCACAGAGACCCTCAGCAAAGGCTGAGAGATTTATAAATTTAAGTCATTTAAAGAAATCCCTGTCTAAGAATCAGATGATTAGCAAGCTGATTACTACCAGACACTTCATAGGCCACACCAAGAATACAGACTTGTGGAATTAGTTCAGGAAAATCACTTAACAAACCAACAGGAGCAACAACAACAAATTGTGGGGAAGGGGGAATCTGATTTCTAGAATTCTCAAGTTACATTATTTGAAATGTCCAGTATGGAACATACATAGGGAAAAAAAAAAATCATCAATAGAAATGGTCCCTAAAGAAGTGCAGACATTGGACTTAGGAGACAAAGACTGTAAATGAACTATTTTAAGTATGTTCAAAGAAGTAAAAGAAATCATCTCTAAAGAACGAAAAGAAAGTTTATGAACAATGTCTCAATAAATAGATAGGAGCTCTGGTAGCGTAGTGCCTAAGACACTTGACTGCTAACCAGAAGGCCGGCGGTTCAAACCCACCAGCCACTCGTCAGAAGGAAGGTTGGGCAATCTACTTCCATAGTGATACTGCCTTGGCAACCCAAGGAGGGGTCCTTATGAGTAGGGGCTGACTCAATGGCACATAACAACAACAACAACATCAATAGATACTGAAATTTTAACAAAGAAATAAGTAGAAATTCCAGAGTTGAAAGTATAACATAAATGAAAAATTAACTTGAGGAGCTCAATAGTAGATCTGAGGTGGCAGAAGGCAGATTTGACAAACGTGAAGATGGTGGCGTAATGCCTAAGGCATTGACTGCTAACTAGAAGGTTGGCAGTTCAAACCCACTAGCCACTCCTTGGAAGGAAGACTGGGCAATCTACTTCCATAGAGATACCACCTCAGAGGGGTCACTATGAGTCACAGTTGAATCAACAGCAGTGAGTTTGGTTTGGTTTTTGTTTCAGTCTAAAAAACATAAAGAAAAAAATGAAGAAAAATGAGCAAAGCCTCAGAGATCTATAGGACACCATCAATAATAACATACACATAACAGGTGTCCCAGAATGATAAGAGAGTAAAAGGAACAGAAAGAATTTTTGAAGAAATAATGCCTGAAAACTTCCCAAATTTTACTGTAAAAAGGTACAACTGTGGAAAACAGTACAACGCTTCCTTAGAAAGCTGGAGATAGAAATACCATATGATCCAGAAATCCCATTACTAAGTATATATCCTAGAAAAATAAAACCTATGGCACAAATATATGCACACTCATGTTCATCACAACATTATTTACTATAGCAAAAAGATGGAAACAACCTAAGTATCCATCAATGGATGAATGGATAAACAAACAATGATATATACAAACAATGGAATACCACACAACTTAAAAGAATAATGACCAATCTGCGAAACACCTTATAACATGGATGAATCATGAGAACATTACGCTGAGTGAAATAAGTCAATCACAAAAGGAAAACT